CTTGCAATGGTAGAAACTGTGGATGACAAGAAGGTAAATTTTTTTGCCAGGTTTTGTTATGTCATGAGACTTGAGTTTGGTGTTCTTTTATTTATTCCTTTTGTTTTTGGTTTTAAGTACTGGAGATTGAGTATGATGTACTGAGAATTATTGACTTGTCACCTGAACTGAGTACCCTTATTAGTGGAAGTTCTTTGGATGGCCTTGGCAAGTCTCATTTGTTTAATTTCATTCTGCAGATGCTGATTATCTTGATCGTATGGTAGCAATCATGGGAAGAGCTATTAAAAGTCTTTATCCGAATCTCAGTGGAGAAGAATGTAAGTTGAATAGTTTTGTTAACAATGTTCATTAGAAATTTCCAATTTGTAAGTTGAATGGGAAATTCAATACTTCAAACCGTGATTGTACTGTAGATTTTTGCCCCAAGCTTTTCTCTTCCAATTTGTTCTTGGGCCATAGTTTGTCCTTGGTGTGGATTTCGAATAAAGTCCTGTTCTACATCCCCATTCAATATCCATACCATTTAGTTCAGATAATGCTAATGTAGTTTCTCATTAAAGAACAATAAATTTTCATCTTAGGATACGTTGATGGTGAACAAACCCAATGTGTTTTAAAACAGTATTCTAAAAACTTTTGATGGCCTTCTTCCCTGTGATTTTGTATCCCCACTGTAAAGCACCAAACACAGGAACCTCAGCTGCTTTCTTGCTAGTAATCAGTATTATTTAATAACAGAGGAGGAGAGATAAAGCTCGTCAAAATAAAAAATGGGAACGAGAAAAGAGAGGTAGAATATGAATAAAATATATTGTCTAAAGATAATATAGTAAACACAAGACAGAAATGATTGTCAAGTCTGATAAGAAACACAAGTTCTGAAGTATTGTTTAATCTTCAATTCATTAGGTTCACTTGTTTTGGTGTTAGGAATTTCCAGTAAAACTATGGGGAATTCTTGTCGCAAAATTTTTGAGATTGAAGAGAATATGACATATTGTTGCCTTGTAATCCTGAGTTTGACCTTTCCTGTGTCCTCTATCAGTAATGCTCAGCTTCTTCTTTCAATGGCGAGGAGCTTTCTCACATGAAAATGGTGAGCAAAAATAATGTGCATCGCACCAAGTTGATTCTACTCCTTGTTCAGAGCAGTGAAACTGGCATGAAAAATGTAAGCATGAATCCTACTTTATGTTAAGTAAATTTTATCGAATATTAATGTTTGATTAAGGCCATTAATTACGACCAGGTTCATGGGGTTCTGAACATCATCGGATGGGAACTCTCTTGCCCACGGGAGTGATCATTGCCAGATACTTGAAAAAATGCCATTGAAGTATGATGTATGGTACCCTCTCCATGTTCTGTGTCAAACTTCAGGTTACATTGTTGGCAGTATCGGATGGGGCATTGGTTTATGGCTTGGAAATTCTTCCAAAAATTACACCCCTCAAACTCGTATTTTCGGCATCCTCAATTTACATTTGCAGCCATACAAGTAAACTCTCGTAAATGATAAGCAATCCCATATGTAGAGGTTCATATTCATTCATTTTTTGTTTTTGTCTGTGTTGTATTATAGATGTTAATCGCATTGCTGCGACTGCAAGGAGAGAAGATGAAAACCGGAAGCACCGGAAGAAGTTCCATCTTGTGTTGGGCTATGTAGTTGATAAAATGGGCTTGGGTAGAACTCACTCCCAAAAGCTAGCTCAAGGGAGGAGGGGGTCCAATCACTTATATACACCATAACAGCCCACTATTAGGGCGATGTGAGACAAATTCAACTTCTAACACCCTCCCTCACGTTCGACGTGCAAGGCTGGGGTCCAAACCCATCATCGTCCCAACCAAAGAGAGGAGAGAAACAAGTCCAAACTCATCATCGGCCCAACCAAAGAGAGTAGAGAAACAAACGTGACTCTGATATCATGATAAAATAGGCTTGGGTAGAACTCACTCCCAAAAACTAGCTCAAGGGAGGAGAGGGATTAATCACTTTATATACAATATAACAGCCCACTATTATGGCGATGTGGGAAAAATTCAACTTCTAACAGTAGTGATAGCTTTAAGTATAATAAATATATTTGAGGGGATTAAGCATCATACTCATCCTGGCAAATGTTAAAAGGCTTATATTGGTATATTTGTGGTATTACTATGCGTTGATATTGCATTGCTGATTGTTGGACTTACCAAGTCTAGAACTTGATAGCAAATGGCTTTTGAAAGCCATCCTCTAAAACAAATGGAATTACAGTAAAGTTCTATGATTCATGTAAAATTATTATTTTTTATTAATGAAATTTTATGGAAGTGATTTATTGAAATGATTTCTATTTCTTATTTGTGTGGTGACGAGGGTGTTTGGGCTAGCTAATGTGTACTTTAATTAATCCAATCGGATTCAAGACCTATTGACTAAGTAATACATTAAAGAGTCGTTATTCGAGCACTCAAGGTAGTTTTTGGAATAATATTTTAGTTGGAGTAAATGACTTTTTTCCATTTAAATAATAGTTTAATAACAGTTTTCTACTCACAGACTTTTAAAATACCACTTTGGAGGTATAAGCTAATTATTTAAAATTTTAAGTAATTACGTGTTTGGTTAAAGTATTTATAAGTGACTGATAAGTAGTTGACGTGTTTGGTAAAATGTGGTTTATAAGTACATTTTATTATAAAATAACTAAAAAGAGTACTACATTAAACAAGGTTATACTATGAAATTTTAAAATTAAACAAAGATAATGTAGTAATATACTTGGTCAAAGCTTATAAGCAACTAAAAATAAGTAACTTATTTTTTTTTGCTTATAAGTTTAGACAAACACCCCCTTGATTATCCAAATTTCTGTTACCGATTCTAACATTGTTGTGACCCTACATTATCATCATTCTCTTTCCTGATCATTACTCAATAAAACACCTCAAACCCTACTCTCGTCTACCTTTACAATCGTTGGCAATTAAGCGATTATGGTTTGCACAATTGTTCCTCCCAAGTCAAATTCTAATCAATCTTAACCTATCAAAATCCAACCTTCTACCACCAAAAGACTTATCGGCCGTCCCTCTTCAAAAGCTTTAACAACTTCGATCGAATTTGCTCTCTATTCGTCTTTGGAATATAAATTTAAATAGTAAAATGGTATTTTAAAAATCTGTGGATGAGAAAGTATCTTTAAACCATTATTTATGGGGGATAAATTCTTTTTAACTCTTTTGTTGTAAGTATTCGTATTCCTCAATGCACTTAAAAAAGAAAAACAAAAGCATTAAANTTAGAGGGGATTAAGCATCATACTCATCCTGGAAAATGGAAAAAGGCTTATATTGGTATATTTGTGGTATTACTATGCGTTGATATTGCATTGCTGATTATTGGACGTATCAAGTCTAGAACTTGATAGCAAATGGCTTTTGAAAGCCATCCTCTAAAATAAATGGAATTACAGTAAAGTTCTATGATTCATGTAAAATTATTATTTTTTATTAATGAAATTTTATGGAAGTGATTTATTGAAATGATTTCTATTTCTTATTTTTGTGGTGACCAGGGTGTTTAGACCAGTTTATGTGTATTTCAATTAATCCAATCGGATTCAAGACTTATTGACTAAGTAATACATTAAAGAGCCGCTATTCGACCACTCAAGGTAGTTTTTGGAATAATATTTTAGTTAGAGTAAATGACTTTTTCCCATTTAAATAATAGTTTAACGACACTTTTCTATTCACAGACTTTTTAAATACCACTTTGGGGGTATAAGCTAATTATTTGAAATTTTAAGTAATTACGTGTTTGGTTAAAGTATTTATAAGTGACTGATAAGTAGTTGACGTGTTTGGTAAAATGTGTGGCTTATAGTTATAAGTACATTTTATTATAAAATAACTAAAAAAGGTACTACATTAAACAAGGTTATACTATAAAATTTTAAAATTAAACAAAGATAATGTGGTAATATACTTGGTCAAAGCTTATAAGAAGACAAAAAAAAAAGTACCTTCCCTCCAACTTTTTTTTTTTTTAGCTCAAAAAAATTATAAACAAACAGGTCAGCTTAATTTTAGAGATTATAAGCTAGTTTGACCAGCTTATAAGCTTAGACAAACACTCCCTTTATTATCCAAATGTCTGTTACCGATTCTAACATCATTGTGACCCCACATTATCATCATTCTCTTTCCTGATCATCACTCAACAAAACACCTCAAACCCTATTCTCGTCGACCTTTACAATCGTTTGCAATTGAGTGATTAGGGTTTGCACAGCTGTCCCTCCCAAGTCAAATTCTAATCAATCTTAACCTACTAAAATCTAACCTTCTACCACCAAAAGATTTATCGGCCGCCCCTCTTCAAAAGTTTTAACAACTTCGATCGAGTTTGCTCTTTGTTCATTGTTAGAATATAAATTTAAATAGTAAAATGATATTTTAAAAATCTATGAGTTAGAAAGTATCCTTAAACCATTAAACCATTATTTGTGGGGGATAAATTCTTTTTAACTCTTTTGTTGTAAGTATTCGTATTCCTCAATGCACTTAAAAAAGAAAAACAAAAGCATTAAAAGCATCATTTGGTTCCAAAGATCAACGACATTGTCGTTTGGTTCCAAAGGTCAACGATATTGCATTGTTACAAAACCATTATTTGTGGGGGATAAATTCTTTTTAACTCTTTTATTGTAATAACATCTCTAAATTGAATATTTATATAATCTAAATTTTTTATTATAAAAAATTTATTTATAAAAATAAAAATCCAGATTCTTTATATTTAAAATATAAATATATTATTTATTGATATATAAGATATTTTGAATACGTTGTAGGTAATATTCGTATTCGTCGATGCACTTAAAAAAGAAAAACAAAAGCAATAAACGCATCGTTTGGTTCCAAAGATCAACGACATTGTCGTTTGGTTCCAAAGATCAACGACATTGTCGTTTGGTTCTAAACGTCAACGACATTGCATTGTTACAATTCTTACCATTTACGCACCGTTTTGGCACAATTTGTTACTGAAATGAGCGGTAGCGAGACAGAGTAAAGGAAGAGACATGAACAATCTAGAACGACAAGAAGAAGGCTGTGCGAGAGACCATAACGCTAACATCAACGACGAAGGCATGGCCGCGTCCTCAGCCGCCACTGACGGCGTCGCAGCGGTGGCGCTTCGTTCCGTCATCCAAAGAGTTCACCAAGCAGCCGAACGGTCGGGTCGCGGACCGGACCGGATCCGAATCGTCGCGGTGAGCAAAACCAAGCCAGTGCCTCTCCTTCGTGAAGTTTATGACGCTGGCCATCGTTGCTTCGGTGAAAATTATGTTCAAGAACTCGTCGAGAAAGCTCCTCAGGTCCTTTTTATTTTCAATATTAAAATTATTTGAATACTTTTTATTTAGTTGTTAAGTCTACAATGTTATTGAAGTTTCTGATGAGTGGAAATAAAAATTTGATGTCTCGTTTTTTTTTTCCTATTGTGAAGGAAAGTTTTTGACTTTGTTAGCTGGATTTGAACCTGCAGCTTCCGGAGGACATAGAGTGGCATTTTATTGGGAATTTACAGAGCAACAAAGTGAAAGCTTTACTGAGTAATGATCTTTTTATTTTCTCTATTTGCATTTTTTGTCTTTGATTGCTAGAGGATGACATATGATGTCTGATTTGTTTATAATTCATCTTTTGTTCATTTGCAGCTGGTGTGCCAAACCTTGCAATGGTAGAAACTGTGGATGACAAGAAGGTAAATACTTTTGCCAAGTTTTGTTATGTCAGGAGATTTGAGTTTGCGGTATTTTTTTTTTTTTTTTATATTTTTGTTTTAGGAGATTTGAGTATGATGTCCTGAGCATTATTGACTCGTTCACTGAACTGAGTACCTAAGCCGAAGCTCTTTGGATGGCCTTGGCAAGTCTCATTTTGTTTAATTTCATGATATTTCATTCTGCAGATTGCTGATCGTCTTGATCGTGTGGTTGCAGGCATGGAAAGGAAGCCATTAAAAGTCTTTATCCAAGTGAATACCAGTGGAGAGGAATGTAAGTCGGTTAGTTTTCGTTACTGCATTGTCATTACAAAATTTCCAGTATTGCCAGTTGAATGGGAAGTTTAATACTTCAACTGGTGCTTGTAGCTATAGACTTTTGCTTCAAGCTCTTCTCTTCCAATCTAGTTCAAAACTTGTTCGTGGGCCATAGCTTGTCCTTAGTGTTGATTTCGAATGAAGTCCTGTTCTAGAACAATCAATGTTTCATCTTTGTCTTGTGGTGCATATGATGCATTCCCTTCTTGTCCATTTATTTGTGACATTTATCTGGAATGTGAAAACCTATAACTTGAAAATTTTAAAAGAAAACCCTGCTTCTGCTATTATAATAGAAATGAATTCTTTTTGGTATCTGCCACTTTTGCAGCAAAATCTGGTGTTGAGCCCTCAGGGTGTGTGGAACTTGCGCAACATGTTAGTCAAAGCTGCCCAAACCTTGAGTTTTCTGGTCTTATGACAATTGGGATGCTGGATTATACATCAACCCCAGAGAACTTCAAGGTAACAGTCTGATTTTTTTTTTTTTTTTTTACTCCCTTTCGTTTTTTTTCTCTCTTCTTTTATTTATATGCTTTGTTTACAATGGGAAAATATAAAAAATTCTGACGTAAATTTATATTCTGTAATCAGACATTAGCACATTGTAGAAGTGAGGTTTGCCAGGCAATTGGAATGCCAGAAGAACAATGTGAATTATCAATGGGCATGTCTGGTGACTTTGAGCTGGCGGTAAGGAAGACCTACTTTTTGCTTAAACGATTAATTTTTGTTACTCTATCATCCATTATCATGACAAAATCATCTTTGGAACTGAAAATATATGCATGTCTGATTTGTTATGCTTAATCAAGAGTTACACAACTACTAACAAAACTTGCTGGTTTTGCAGATTGAAATGGGTAGTACCAATGTCAGAATCGGATCTACGATATTTGGGGCAAGGGAATATCCAAATAAGAACTAAAACTGTGCTGAATTTTATCTTTGCCCACGACATTATTGGCGTTTTTATGTATTCCTATTTATGTCTTAGTAATTAATTAAATTAATCATACCATGTTATTGTTGTCATGAGATTGACGCTTTTCACTCTTTTTATCTTATATATTCTTCAGTTATACCATAGTCTTCAGTTTGAGCAAATGCATATATGAACATGTGCTACTCTTAATAACTAGTTATGTGCTCGTCAGCAGGTACCCAATTAGGGGTGAAAATCAAGCTGAGCCACTCGAACTTGGCTCGGTATTAGTTGAGTCGAGTTCGAGTTCGAGTAGTTCAAGTTGTCATTTGAGTTGAGTTCGATCACAATAGAACTCAAACTTGATTAAAGCACGAATGCGATTGAAATTAGTATTCTCGAACTCGAATAAAACTCGATTATACGAACTTGAGTTCTAATTTCAGGTATTGAGTTCGAGTTTGAACTTGATTTCTGAGGCTTAATCTTGAACTTGAATTTGGTACTGTAGCATTCTAGTTAAGTTCGATTAAGTGGATACTCGACTCAGATTTCACCCTTAACCCAACCACACTTAGGGTCTTAGAACTTGACATGACTCCACCTGAATATATAGAAAGTTAAAAACTACATGTCCTTCAGGCTTCAACTCATGTCGTTCAAAACGTCAAGCATTATACAAGTTAAAATCGGATTTTTGACTTTAGCATGAGTTATGAACAAGCTGAAACAATCACTCTTAACTTCTCATCCCATTAAGTTAATTAAGTCTCTTGTTAGCATCCTCTCTTCTCAAAATGCACACCCTGAAGTCGGTTTAAGCAACTCCTCCACTTTCACCACTCTGCTAAAATCATGCATTTCTCTAAACCTCTTTTCATTGGGCCTGTCATTACACCAGCAAATCATCGTTAATGGGTTCTCTTTGGATCCTTATATTTCTTCTTCGTTGATCAACTTCTACGCAAAATTTGGTCACACAAAAAGCGCGCGGAAGGTGTTTGACTTAATGCCTCTTAGAGATGTGGTTGCTTGGACTGCCATCATTGGCTGTTACTCACGTGCTGGTGACGTTAACATGTCGTTTTGTATGTTTAATGAAATGAGAATTGATGGGATTGAACCTAGTGTGGTGACTTTGTTAGGGATGGTGTGTGGTGTTTTGGAGCTTAAACATGTGAAGTGCTTGCATTGTTGTGTGGTTTTGTATGGTTTTGAGATCGATATAGCTCTGGTTAATTCTATGATCAATATGTATGGTAAATGCGGGAGTGTTTATGATGCAAGGGACTTGTTTGAAATGATGGATAAAAGGGATTCAATTTCATGGAATTCGTTGATTTCGGGGTATGCTCAAGTTGGTAATGTTAGAGAAATATTGCGGCTTTTGTATAGAATGAGGATTGAAGGTGTAGATCCTGAGCAGCAGACATTTGGGTCTCTTGTGTCTGCTAATGTAATAGAGAATGATCTTGAATTGGGGAAGTTGGTGCATGGACTGATTTTAAGAGCAGGGTTTAACATGGATGCACATGTTGCAACGTCACTTATAATTATGTATTTGAAATGTGGGAATGTCAATGTTGCATTTCGAATTTTTGAGCAGACACCAGACAAGGATGTTGTTTTATGGACTGCAATGATATCGGGGCTTGTTCAGAATGATTGTGCTGACAAGGCACTGTTAATCTTCTGTGAAATGTTAAAGTCAAGAATGGAGCCATCTAGTGCCACAATAGGTAGTGCTCTTTCAGCTTGTGCACAATTGGGTTCCTTGGATTTTGGGACCTCCATTCATGGATACATAATAAGGCAAGAGATGACACTGGACATCCCTGCCCAAAACTCTCTTGTCACCATGTATGCAAAATGTGGTCAATTGGAGCAGAGTTGTGCCGTTTTTTATAGGATGGGTGAAAGAGATTTGGTTTCATGGAATGCAATAATAGCTGGATATGCTCAGAACTGCGATTTGCCCAAGGCTTTCTTCCTCTTTACTGAAATGAGGGCAGCCCTTCAAAGACCTGACTCAATTACAGTTGTTTCCCTCTTCCAAGCTTGTGCTTCCATTGGGGCACTTCAGCAGGGAAAGTGGGTCCACAATGTTGTGATCAGGAGTTGCCTAAGACCATACATCTTGGTTGATACAGCTCTGGTTGATATGTACTGCAAATGCGGTGACTTAGATGCTGCTCAAAAGTGTTTTGATGGGATGTCGCAACATGATCTGGTTTCATGGAGCTCAATCATAGCCGGATATGGTTCCCATGGCAGAGGGGAGATTGCTTTGAGGATGTATGAAGAGTTTCTTCACACTGGTTCTGAACCAAACCATGTGATGTTCCTTGCAGTCCTCTCTGCATGTAGTCATAAGGGCTTTGTCCAGCAGGGTCTGAGCATATTCCAATCAATGACTAGAGATTTTGGGGTTGAACCGAAACTTGAACATTGTGCATGCATCCTTGACATCCTCTGTCGAGCTGGTAGGGTTGAGGAAGCGTATGACTTATATAAGGGGAATTTCTCAGACACTTCAGTAGATGTTTTAGGCATACTCCTTGATGCTTGTCGGGCCACTGGTAACTGGGAACTTGGTAAAATCATTGCCAATGATGTTCTCAGGTTGAAGCCTACAGATGCTGGAAACTATGTTCAACTAGCACATTGCTATGCTTCACTGGATAGATGGGATGGAGTGGGTGAGGCATGGACCTTAATGAGGTCTCTGGGCCTGAGAAAACTCCCCGGTTGGAGTTTTATCGAATTACATGGGGTGATAACAACATTTTTTATGGATCATAGTTCCCATCCCCAGTTTGAAGAACTAGTATTTGTATTGAAAACCTTGAATAAGGAAATGAGGAAAATGGCTATCCATTCCAACATCAGTTAATTTGAGATATATCCTGAAAATTCTTTATGTTAGAGATTATGTAAGAGAGGCATACAACTCTTAAATAGGAGGTTCGTGACTATCAGCTTCCCCAGCCTACATGATTACTTTGGGCTTCTGATCAAGACTGAAACACAGGTAACTTGCAGACGGAATAGTGTTGGTGAAACATGGATGCTGAGTTATAAGTCGTGGCTTGAGAGCTCAACACAGTGGCTTAATTTTGCAGGGAACCAAAACACTTGATAGGTCACATTCTTTCTAACATTCAAGTCTTTTGGGTTACAGCATAAGTTAGCTGAAATCAAGAGTAATTATCACGACCTTGTTCAAATCAAAAGTGTTTGAACGAAAGGCTGATCGGGAGAAATAATAAAGGCAAAACAGAAAAGGCACAGGATCTTCCCTTGGTAATTCTTTTTATGTGAATCACTCTTGTATTGTATAAGAAAATGTCTTGCACGTTACACACCTATCTCTGTACTTTAAACTTTATATATCGGATCATATATTTTTGAAGTGCAGAAAATTCATGGTTGTTGGTTTTCACAAGAGTAAACGACATTTTCCCACTCAAATAATGGTTTAATGACTTTTTTTCACTCATAGACTTTTAAAATATCACTTTATTGTCTAAATTGATATTCTGTTTCCGATACCGGCATTTTTGTGATCCCATACCATCACCATTCTCTTCCCTGATCATTGCTCACCAAAATTCCTCAAACCCTACTCTTGTTGACCCTACCAATTGTCGATAGTTGAGTGATTAGGGTTTGTACAGACGCTCGTCCCAAGTTAAATTCTGATCAATCCCAATCCCAATCACCAAAATCCATAATTCTACTATCAAAAGACTCAACGGCCTCCTTTGTTCAAAAGTTCTAACAGCTTGAATATAGTTTGTTTTCTTTATGCCACTGAAATATAAATTTGAATAATAAAATGGTATTTTAAAAATTTGTGGGTGGGAAAAAATCGGTAACTCTTTTCACAATGAAGAAAAGTGTACCTGTGCCAAATCAAATTGCGGTTCTTAGTTGCACATATTCTGCCTGGCTTGGTTGGTTTTATTCTCCGACTTTTTCCTTCTAAAATATTTAATTCATTCTTTATTTAGTCTATTTGTAGCTAACTCTCTCAAAAATATTGCAAACACACCCTTTCCTGGTTGTTTTAGGCAGCTCTTTTATGTTCTCTTTTCATGTTATGCTTTGTCTGTGTAGAATGTAAGAGCTCCCTATTGTTTTTCGAAGTCTGCTACATGATTATCAGGGATTGTTGAATTGTAGTTCAAGAATGAGTGAATCATGATCTAGTAATCCAGATGAGATGAGAGCAATGTTACCGTTACCTTGCTAACAGCACATTTAAGATCTCATTGGTCTGGCAGCTGTCAAATTCATCTACTGCAAAAAATATGTGTGGTCATTAACAGTTATTCATGACTGACAAATTTACAGAGGCCAACTAATTTGCCGCATTCATTTAGTAAGCTGGATATTGATTGAGAAACTGATTTTCAGAAGTTTTCCTGTAACAGTCTATGGGTAAGGTCCACCACTAGGTGACCTAATGGTAAAAGAGTAAAGGAGAATCTAATATGGTGTCTCAAGTTTGAGTTCCATTGATAGTAGAAGAGGATCCTACATGATCTTTCAAGAGGAAGATCCTACATAGTTTCTGAAGTTCGGGTCCTTTTGAGGGTAAAAGAGCAAAATGAACATCTAACATGATCTCTTACAAGGAGAATTTAACATGATATCTCAAGTTTGAGTTCCCTTGAAGGTAAAAGAGCAAGAGAAGGATCTTACATGATATTCTGAGTTTAAGTCCCTATGGTTGTTAATAGTGGTGGTTACTAGAGCTCTTAGCCGGCCGTTAATTTCAAAGTTTTGGGAGATTAGTTGAGACGCAGCTAGTCTATACACTCCTGATCATAAAAAAGATAAAAAAATTTAAAAAAACCATCTTGGATGATACCTTTGACCAGCTGCATACTACCGGGCGTTACATTACTCCTCTCTCAACCCCCGGAGGCAACATATTATGGTTACTCGTAGACACTCTCGATAAAGTGGGTAATAATGTTTGATTGATTAGCTGAAACCCGTGGTCAATCTCACTATCTAGCCTTTTTGTTTTTGAATGTTTTGCTAAGATGATGCATCTGTAATTTTTTGTTGTGGGTCCATATTGGATATGTAGTCTCTAACATCATGGGGTTCCACAAAAATGTCAAGAAGCAACAGAGATTCATGAATATAAGATGGGCTTCAACGTGACTCTGTATGATTTATGAAGGTAAGATAAGCTTCTGAACAGTTGGGAGTTGAGATTGGCCCGATATTTAGATTAATGATCTTTCTCAGAATTGCTTTTGCTGCATAAATTCCGGATAACTGATTACTGTAGTTATTGCCCACTCGTCAAGACATGTGAAAATTCATTCTGTACTTTAGAGTAGTTGACACTATTCACAGGCCTAGATTTCGAAGCCAAAGCTGGGAAAATTATAAGGACAGTCTAGATAATAATCTTAGTTTGATTAAAATAAGATTATTGTGATAGATTAGTGTATTAGAGGTAACGTTACCTCTCGATGACACCCATTGGATCATTCTCCAAGATGTATTGAAGGTGTGCATTAACTAGTTTAAGTTGGCATTTTGTGAGTTATGAAAGTAGTTGCTATCTGCTAAGAGCTTCCAAGATCTCACTCACCCCCATGCAGCGTTCCCATCCCCAGTTTGAAGAACTAGTATTTGTATTGAAAACCTTGAATAAGGAAATGAGGAAAATGGCTATCCATTCCAACATCAGTTAATTTGAGATATATCCTGAAAATTCTTTATGTTAGAGATTATGTAAGAGAGGCATACAACTCTTAAATAGGAGGTTCGTGACTATCAGCTTCCCCAGCCTACATGATTACTTTGGGCTTCTGATCAAGACTGAAACACAGGTAACTTGCAGACGGAATAGTGTTGGTGAAGCATGGATGCTGAGTTATAAGTCGTGGCTTGAGAGCTCAACACAGTGGCTTAACTTTGCAGGGAACCAAAACACTTGATAGGTCACCTTCTTTCTAACATTCAAGTCTTTTGGGTTACAGCATAAGTTAGCTGAAATCAAGAGTAATTATCACGACCTTGTTCAAATCAAAAGTGTTTGAACGAAAGGCTGATCGGGAGAAATAATAAAGGCAAAACAGAAAAGGCACAGGATCTTCCCTTGGTAATTCTTTTTATGTGAATCACTCTTGTATTGTATAAGAAAATGTCTTGCACGTTACACACCTATCTCTGTACTTTAAACTTTATATATCGGATCATATATTTTTGAAGTGCAGAAAATTCATGGTTGTTGGTTTTCACAAGAGTAAACGACTTTTTCCCACTCAAATAATGGTTTAATGACTTTTTTTCACTCATAGACTTTTAAAATATCACTTTATTGTCTAAATTGATATTCTGTTTCCGATACCGGCATTTTTGTGATCCCATACCATCACCATTCTCTTCCCTGATCATTGCTCACCAAAATTCCTCAAACCCTACTCTTGTTGACCCTACCAATTGTCGATAGTTGAGTGATTAGGGTTTGTACAGACGCTCGTCCCAAGTTAAATTCTGATCAATCCCAATCCCAATCACCAAAATCCATCATTCTACTATCAAAAGACTCAACGGCCTCCTTTGTTCAAAAGTTCTAACAGCTTGAATAGAGTTTGTTTTTTTTATGCCATTGAAATATAAATTTGAATAATAAAATGGTATTTTAAAAATCTGTGGGTGGGAAAAAATCGGTAACTCTTTTCACAATGAAGAAAAGTGTACCTGTGCCAAATCAAATTGCGGTTCTTAGTTGCACATACTCTGCCTGGCTTGGTTGGTTTTATTCTCCAACTTTTTCCTTCTAAAATATTTAATTCATTCTTTATTTAGTCTATTTGTAACTAACTCTCTCAAAAATATTGCAAACACACCCTTTCCTGGTTGTTTTAGGCAGCTCTTTTATGTTCTCTTTTCATGTTATGCTATGTCTGTGTAGAATGTAAGAGCTCCCTATTGTTCTTCGAAGTCTGCTACATGATTATCAGGGATTGTTGAATTGTAGTTCAAGAATGAGTGAATCATAATCTAGTCATCTAGATGAGATGAGAGCAACGTTACCGTTACCTTGCTAACAGCACATTTAAGATCTCATCGGTCTGCAGTTGTTTGTTAACTAATTAAATGATTTGCATAAATTCATCTACTGCAAAAAATTTGTGTGGTCATTAACAGTTATTCATGACTGACAAATTTACAGAGGCCAACTAATTTGCCGCATTCATTTAGTAAGCTGGATATTGATTGAGAAACTGATTTTCAGAAGTTTTCCTGTAACAGTCTATGGGTAAGGTCCACCACTAGGTGACCTAATGGTAAAAGAGTAAAGGAGAATCTAATATGGTGTCTCAAGTTTGAGTTCCATTGATAGTAGAAGAGGATCCTACATGATCTTTCAAGAGGAAGATCCTACATAGTTTCTGAAGTTCGGGTCCTTTTGAGGGTAAAAGAGCAAAATGAACATCTAACATGATCTCTTACAAGGAGAATTTAACATGATATCTCAAGTTTGAGTTCCCTTGAAGGTAAAAGAGCAAGAGAAGGATCTTACATGATATTCTGAGTTTAAGTCCCTATGGTTGTTAATAGTGGTGGTTACTAGAGCTCTTAGCCGGCCGTTAATTTCAAAGTTTTGGGAGATTAGTTGAGACGCAGCTAGTCTATACACTCCTGATCATAAAAAAGATAAAAAAATTTAAAAAAACCATCTTGGATGATACCTTTGACCAGCTGCATACTACCGGGGGTTACATTACTCCTCTCTCAACCCCCGGAGGCAACATATTATGGTTACTCGTAGACACTCTCGATAAAGTGGGTAATAATGTTTGATTGATTAGCTGAAACCCGTGGTCAATCTCACTATCTAGCCTTTTTGTTTTTGAATGTTTTGCTAAGATGATGCATCTGTAATTTTTTGTTGTGGGTCCATATTGGATATGTAGTCTCTAACATCATGGGGTTCCACAAAAATGTCAAGAAGCAACAGAGATTCATGAATATAAGATGGGCTTCAACGTGACTCTGTATGATTTATGAAGGTAAGATAAGCTTCTGAACAGTTGGGAGTTGAGATTGGCCCGATATTTAGATTAATGATCTTTCTCAGAATTACTTTTGCTGCATAAATTCCGGATAACTGATTACTGTAGTTATTGCCCACTCGTCAAGACATGTGAAAATTCATTCTGTACTTTAGAGTAGTTGACACTATTCACAGGCCTAGATTTCGAAGCCAAAGCTGGGAAAATTATAAGGACAGTCTAGATAATAATCTTAGTTTGATTAAAATAAGATTATTTTGATAGATTAGTGTATTAGAGGTAACGTTACCTGTCGATGACACCCATTGGATCATTCTCCAAGCTGTATTGAATGTATGCATTAACTAGCTTAAGTTGGCATTTTGTGAGTTATGAAAGTAGTTGCTATCTGCTAAGAGCTTCCAAGATCTCACTCACCCCCATGCAGCTATATATCCACATTTATTGCCAAGTTTCCTCTATCTTTCCTATTGTGTCTCTGGGATAGTGAGAAAATGGGAAGCTGTTCTGCTTTTTTTCTGGTAGCAGCATTGTTGGTGACTGTAGAGGTCTCCATTGGAGTTAAAGAAGCTCAACTTGCTTATGACTATTACAAGCATTCATGTCCAAGTTTAGAAGCCATTGTCAAGAAAGAGATTCTGAGCATTTCCTTCTTGGATGCTTCAGCTCCTGCTGCTTTTCTTAGGCTTCTGTTTCATGACTGCCAAGTCCAGGTAATTATTTGCGTGGATTCTCAGCTGTTCTTAGTATGGTATTAGAGCCAAATATTTCATGTTCAAATCTCTTGCATTGCATCTGTCCGGATCCATGATTAAGCTTTAAATATGAATGTTGTGTTACCCGGCATGATCTTTGCACTCATGGATTTTGTTATAAACTTGTAATGCAGGGTTGTGATGCATCAATTTTGCTTGATTATGATGGCTTGACCCATGATTCCGAAATGGTTTCTTCAAAGAACTTTGGTGTAAGACATCGAGAAAAGATTCAACGTATAAAAACTACATTAGAAGCTGTGTGTCCCGGTCAGGTTTCTTGTGCAGACATAATTGCTTTAGCTGCCAGGGAAGCAGTGTCCGTCTCCGGAGGACCACAAATTCAGATTCCTCTTGGAAGAAAAGACTCCACCACCTGTAATCACCAACAAGCTAACACTCATCTTCCTTCTTCTGGAATCACAGTCGACCAATTACTCCCTATCTTCAGCTCCAAAGGAATGAACCTCTTGGAATCAGTCGCCATCTTAGGTAACAATTTGACCAATATTTCCAACTCGATAATGTTACAGAATAAAGATAGGTTGAAAAAACATTTTCCATAATTTTTTCTCATAAACGCGACGTGACAGTTCGTAATTAGTCAATTCGCATTTAGTCAGACGGAATCCATTGCGAACTGACACGTTGCGATTTTTTAGAGAAAGTTAGTGCAAAGGGTTTGTCAGTGTAGTATTACTGGATAACACAGACGTTTTCGCTTTGTTTCATTGCAGGTGCACATACACGTCTTTTAGAGAAAGTTAATGAGAAGGGTTTGTCAGTGTAGTATTACGAGATAATATAAACGTTTTCGCTTTGTTTCGTTGCAGGTGCACATACACTAGGTGGTGGGCACTGCATAAATATAGTAGACAGATTGTATGATCCACATCCAGGAGATGAGATGAATGAAGGCTATCAACAATTACTAAAATTGGCATGCCCAACAAGAACTCCACTGACAAATCTCACAGTTGTGCCTAATGACTTGACCCCAGTGGTCTTTGATAACCAGTACTATAGAAATATCCTGATGGGCAAAGGCTTGTTTGGTGTGGACTCAAGCCTTTCCAGAGATCCTCGCACTGCAGCCATTGTTCATAAGTTTGCTTATGATAAAAACTACTTCTTCCAGGCATTTTCCTCTGCATTTGTCAAGTTATCTTCAACAAATGTGCTCACCAATGCAAAGGGTGAAGTAAGGAGAATATGCAACCATGTAAACAAGAGAAATCTGTAAAAATAATAATAAAAATAATATGATATTCCTTTTTTTTTATTTTTTTTTATTTACATTATTGGTAATTGATTATTGTACAATTGTTATATAATATTTTCTTTTTTTTTTTCTTATTAACAGTTGGGAGTTGAGGTAGGACCTATTTAGTTTTTTTTTTTCTTATTAACAGTTGGGAGTTGAGGTAGGACCTATTTAGGAGTAATGGGTGTTTTATACTTTTATAGTTTTATTAGGTCTTACCTTTGTTGGAAATATTTTGGATATATGGACTATTATATTTTGATTAAATGCCACTTAAAATGTTTTTTTAAAGTTGTATTTCATATTTTTTAAATGATATTTATTGTCTAGATGTGAACAGAGAAAAATTTGGATGGAATGTCTTTAGGTAAGATAAACGTACAGTATCCGTATATATATTCATATATCTAAATGGAGAAAAAAACAAAAACTTCGTATCTGATATGATTATATTAGATGAGTATAAAAATAACGTGTTTCACATATTTTGAAGACTTTTTTGTTGATGAAATATTAGCTCTTCAACTTTTCATTTTAAAACCCTTGAACAACAAAAAATTTTAACACACATTTAAAATTAATTATCCAAAAAATAGGCAAATTTCTCTAATTCCCCCAATTTTTGATGTAATTACAACACACATTTTTTGTTCTGAAAATTATCATTGAATGCCCTTATAATCATCACTTATCTCTCCCAAGGCCTTATATAATTAATCACTCGTAAAGCAAAAAATAATAAATAGTTGACAAGAGAATAAGTGTTTAAAAATATTAAAAGAAAAAAAAAAATTCCCACGTAAAGTGATAGATAGGTAAATGCTAAGAATCAAATTGAGGTAGAGGATGGATTTCAATGGAGGAGAATGAACTTATCAAAGAAGAGAAGAGACGAATGCCCCAAAAACTTCAAAAACATTGAAGACCGTCAACCACTTGGCTTGTGACCGATAGCAAGACCTTAGGTTATCCAGACATATTTTTGACTTATCTAATCCAGTAGACTTGTAGAGTGTTTCAATGGAAAGATGTTCTGTTTTGCTTGTTCTAGCATCATTGGCCGCAGCTTATAATTTAAAGGCTCTTACTTTTGACTATTACAAAAATTCATGTCCTAATTTGGAAGATAATTGTGGAGATCGCTGTTCGAAAGATTTCTTTGCTAGATGCTTACCATACTCGCCACTTTCCTTAGGCTTATTTTTCGTGACTGCCAAGTCCAGGTTTGCATTTTAAACTTCACTATAAATGTTTGGTGAACAACAGAAAAGTTTACCTAACAAATAAACGCCTATCATATTACATTATGCAATAGAATTTTATTGGGTTGACGTATAAATGACACGATATACTCAATATATAGAAGACTCTGATCTACCCTTATTAGCTCCGGTGACTACCTTTCTTAGCAACCGAGAAGAGACTTGAACTCTGGACCTCTTGAATAATACACCCAAGAGTCCCTATCGAACCACTCGACCACCCAGAGATAGTTAATTTGAGATTTTTTTATGATACAGGGCTGTGATGCATCTATCTTGTTGGATACGGAAGATTCATAATTTACTTCTGCAAGGAACTTTGCTTTACAAAACCGAGAAAAGATTCATAGTATAAAAGCAACATTGGAAGAGAAGTGTCCAGGGCAGGTATCTTGTGAAGACATAATTGCTCTAACTTCCAGGGAAGCAGTCTCTCTCTCAGGAGGACCTCTTGTTAAGATTCGTTTTGGAAGAAAAGACTCCACCACTTCCAGTCATCAACAAGCTGACATTCATCTTCCTCCTGCTGGAGTTTCAGTTAACAGATTACTTTCCGTTTTCAGGAATGAACGTCGAGGAAGCAGTCGCCATGATGGGTAAACTATTGTTAACAGTTCAATAATGTTATCAGATAGTTTCAGATTGGTTTCATTAAACTTTGTTGTTGTTGCTGCAGGTGCACATACCCTAGGAGTTGGGCATTGCCTAAACATAGTTGACAGATTGCATGTCCATCTAACTCCAATAACAAATGTCATATTTTTACCTAATTACTGGAGTCCTTTAGTTTCCGATAACCAGTACTTCAGACATGCATTGAGAACCAGTACTTCAGACTAGGGGTGAAAACTGAACTCGAGCCGCTCGCGGCATTGGCTTGAGCTCAAATAGCTCGTATACTGATTCGAGTCAAGTTTCATCACTGTACAACTCAACTCGAAAAGCTCAAATAAATTCAATTAAGCTCGAAAAGCTTGATTAAAGCTCGATTATACAAACTTGAATTCTAACTTCAGGTACCAAGCTCAAGTTGAAACTTGATTCCTCAGGCTCGAATTGGAACTGTAGCAATCAAGTCGAGTTCGAGTAACCAGATACTGGACTCAACCCAACTCGATTTCACCCCTACTTCAAACATATATTGAGGGGAAAAGGATTGTTCGTGAGTGACTCCAGCATATCTAGAGATCCTTGCACAACACCCACTGTTCATAAGTTTGCAGATGATAGAAAGTATTGAAAACTACTTTTACCAGGCTATCTCCTCTGCATTTGTAAAGTTATCAGCAACAAATGTGCTCACCGGTGCAAAGGGTGAAGTGAGGAGGATATGCAAGCAAATAAATTAAGACCAAATGTATATATTAAAAGAATTGTACATAAGTATTTGTACGATCAGAACAAATAGATCTCATGCAAGGAAGAAAAATATTTTGTATATTATTTCGGTTATTTAGTGTAGATAAGGATGTTCAAAACAATTAGAAGAAGGAGTCCTAATAGTACTGTAACTGTATCTAAGTTTTGTGCTGCAACAATAAACATTACATAATATGTGACAGATTTGCTGTTTCTTTCCCACCTGGTCAAGAATTCGTTGAATCAGAGTGCTACAAAAAAAGGCACGATTAGATTAATTCTTTGCAAAATTTCTGGGCAGGCTAGAAATGATGGCTTTTCGGATACACTTCAATATTCACTGTTCACCCCATTTATGTTCTCTAAATATTAGTTGCTTTCTCTGTTTTGATTGTCATGGTATCAAAATCTTCTCTGCGTATATGATTGTGTGGTGTATCAGTAAAACTACAGTGGGCTTGTGTGGTGTATCAGTAAAACTACAGTGGGCTACCGGCTGGCTATCCATTTTATGTTTTGAAGTGGGTCAGTTGACAGTTACAAGAACTGTATGAGAAGATTACCGATCAAAACTTATGATGAAGATGCGTCTAATAATGAAGAGGCATCAAAGGGGCCAACCACCCCCTCACTGAGAATGCGCATGGCAGCTCCACGAGAAAACTTCCTTGCAAACAAAAAGCAGGGAACCATCGTGTTGTTAGTACGACACCACTCTGTCCGGAATTCAGTCTCATAGTATACATGGTTGATACGCTGTTCAATTGCACGAAACACGAATAAAAATGAAACAGTTAGTATAAAATGCAAAGAACACCCAAATCAATGGACTCCAAAATTGGCTTAAAAAACAACAAAATAAAATAAAAGCACATAGTAATATAATTAAACACTGGAGTGCCCAATTAAAAACTTTGTGTTGAGATCCAGGCACTCTGCATGTTGATGTTTTAACCCTAAAACCTAGTCAACCGATGACTCACAAAAGAAAAAGGAACTTGAGCACAGCAGCAAATCAAATCGGAGCAATAGGAGTAGACCAAGGATTAAGCAATAAAACCATACCTTATACCAAATAAAGAAAACAATTCTATTTCTCATTAAAGCATGGAAAGAACCCAGTACAGAACAATGTGAAAGGAAAAGTAGAAGAAATGAGGTAAGAACCTTTATTTCCCTAATCTGTTTAGGCCCAGCATTAGCATAGCTGAATGTCGTAGGATGCCAACCTTTATTCTCCATCTTCGTAGCAGACTGATTCCACTGGGTATAGGTCAATGTTCTACGTTCAAGTTCACCTTCAAGCCCACACATCTACCAAGAGAATGTAAGAAAAGGTAACTAATTATACTTAAATATAGTGATAAACAAAATCTTAAATACCAGCGACAACAAAGTAATAAAGAGTCATCCACACAAAACAAGAGGTTTATAATAGTACACATGAACAGTAAAGGAGTGCATCACAAGAAAATAACACCAGGAAGAACCACTATAACATATTGAAAACATTGCGAAAGATTGACAAGAAGGTGAAACAAGGATATAGCTTACCGCAAGCAGTGTCGGCACATAATGTTCATCTGGAATGCAATTGTGCTGCTTTTGAAGTTTCTGCATTTAGCATTGAAATCCAAATAAGAAAATTTTATCAATCACTTAAAGGAGGACATTATACAGAATTTAAGTTCTAGATCAAAAGGAACAAAAACAATTTGAGAGGCTACATGTAAGCCTATAAAATAAACACTTAATTTAAGCTGTTAAGATTGATAGTATTCCATCATACATCAAAGCTTGTTTGACCAAGAGGTTGTATTTTATTTACATCATTAACCTGTTGACTAAATCTAACCTTGAACTTGAAAGGCAGTGTTAGAGCTTAAAAAATATTTATGGACCTTTGCCTATCAGCTTAAGACTTTTTTGAGCTCAATGTGTTTTAACAAACAACAACAATGATGATGATGACAACGATGACGATGATAGTTGACACATGTATTGCTGGCAAGCAAACCCTTTCCATGAAAGCATTTAATGTTCAAATTCTGAACTTCAGCCCAAAATCATAAGCTATTCCTAGATTGGGAATTAAGATACCAAAATCTATGAAACAAAATACAAAATGCATACAAACCAATGCACATAACATATAAAGTTCAGGGAGTCAGTTTTTATCACAACTTAAATTAGAGGTGAACATGGCTTACCAGATTAAGCTTTCCCTTGCTAGCATCTACAGGTGGGCGTCGCTGTAAATAGGGATATAAGTTAGTCCATGTACTGTTCAGAAGATATACAAATTTTACACTCTAGACAAGATAATGAAAATTTTTAGTTTAAGAATGACAATTGTTTTATGGTGAAGACCAAGGGCTAAGTGCCATGCCCATAGAAACACTCACCAGCATGCATGTCATACTAGCAAAATCAGACAGAAGATGTCATTAATCAGTGATAAGAAAACAAGTTTCATTAAAAAAGTTTTGTTCAGCCTTAATGTATTTTATAAAAAAGCTTAATTTTGTTCAGCCTTAATGTATTTTATAAAAAATGCAGAAGACTGAAATCATTGGAAATTCAAGAAATCACATTAAAAAAGGCACATTAAATATAATAGAACTGATCAGCATGTCACAAACAAAAACAATAATGGATCTAGTACAGTTCTACATGAATGCTAAAGAGTCATAATTCAGTGAAAGAAGCCGTAGATATTACTGTAAGAGGGTTAAGACAGAAAATTGTTTGACTGTGTACCTTGCAAAGTTTCTTAAAGACTGGGAAAATGATCTCATCATCTACAATAACTTCTGCATGGCTTCGTATTAAAGAGATCCACTGCAACAGATTAATCCAAGTCAGAGGATGAATTATGCTTAGGGTGGAAAAACAGATGTGTATCCTATACTTGACAATATAATGAACAATAGGATGTAATGAAAACAATAGATAACCTGGGATCCTTTTCGCCATCTGTCTTTTGGTATGACAGGTGACATTTTTGGGTGGTAGCGGCCTTCCTTCCCATCAAGAAAGCTATAAACACAAAGTAACAATTTAATTTTTTATATTTAAAATATCTTCATGAAGTGTAACAAGCGGCTCAAAATAAATTACACACTCATCCAGATATAAAATTTCCATTGATATGAACCATATGCAAAAAATCAATGCTGGGCACCTCAAGAATCAAAGTCTTCCATCTACCTGTCCACGAAACTNAGGTGTGTATCCTATACTTGACAATATAATGAACAATAGGATGTAATGAAAACAATAGGTAACCTGGGATCCTTTTCGCCATCTGTCTTTTGGTATGACAGGTGACATTTTTGGGTGGTAGCGGCCTTCCTTCCCATCAAGAAAGCTATAAACACAAAGTAACAATTTAATTTTTTATATTTAAAATATCTTCATGAAGTGTAACAAGCGGCTCAAAATAAATTACACACTCATCCAGATATAAAATTTCCATTGATATGAACCATATGCAAAAAATCAATGCTGGGCACCTCAAGAATCAAAGTCTTCCATCTACCTGTCCACGAAACTTCTAGGAGAAGCCATTAAATAGTTGTATATATAGCTAAAGTTGTACAAGGGTACACAACTGCAATATGGAGAAAGAAAAGATAGACATATAAGCCATTGTCAAAGCAATTTTTTTCAAAAACCCACATCACTAAAAAGGAAAAGGAATCAAATTCATAAAACTAGGGGGGAAAAAACCTGTCAGAGACAAGGACGAATCTTTGATTTGCGGGATCCCCTAAAGCAGCTTCAAGTAACAACCTCTCTGCTGCAATCATACTCGATTCTCCCCATGCCACCTGAGACACAGCAAGTAATTTCTTCACTCACAGTCACCAAACAAACATTTCATAACAAAAACTTTTAGTAACTAAGAAAAGTAAAATTTTTAAGTAGATAGAAATCTTTTCAAAACTAAACTACCATGTGATTTGTTGATGGAGGAGATTTTTATTTTATTTTTTTACACTAAAAACAAGCATAGATTTCTTCCTTCATCTTTTTTTCTTTAATTTTCCACCTTTTCCTCGGCAACCAAACTGAGCCAAAACAATAGAAATGTTATACTTCTAATATTTCCTTTGATCGATCATCATCATCACCTGAATACTATTACTCAATTGGCGTCCGTAGAAGAACTTTGACCTTGTAGTGGACTCATCGAACACAAACCCCGGCGCAGAGTGTATATAAATCGAAAAATTCGCCACGGCGGCATTCTGCGATACAAACAGCCAAACAACACACTCATTTTCCCGAAAAACCGCAAGAAAAATCACATAGAAACAACATTTTTTTCTTTACAAAACATTTACCGCACCTCAAAGAAGCTCTCCCAAAGAAAGTCAAGAGGCAGGTCACGGCGAACAAGGAACAAAAACGCGATCTTAGCCGGCCCCTTGAAATAATCCTGAGGACCCCGAGATCTCATAACGTGACGAAACGGCGGCGCACTCGACGACGGGATTTCGTATTGAAAGTGGAGCCGAAACAAAGCGACGAAAGAAAACACGATGCAAAGTAAGATAACGAGCTTCCAGCTCAACCAGATGACGTGACGGGCCTGCCCCGGCACGGGTTTCTTCGTCATAATAAAAGTCGTCGTTGGTTTTACCGTGGTTTTCGCTCCGCCTTGAAAGAAAGAAAGCGACCGCCAAAAGTCGTTCATTTATGACAATAAAGAATGAAAAGTGAAGTAAATATGTTTTGTAATTACATTGAAGGGTTGGGGTTTGTTTGGAGAGAGACAGAGGAAGCATCTGTTTCATAATTTAAAATCGTGGGAAAGTTAAAACCTTTTTACACTGCAGTGTAAGTGCGTGTTTTGAAGGTCAGAGATAGAGGGTGAATCAAACGCTGTCGTTTTCTGTCGTCTGGGCCACAGCCCGTCCCACCCGCCTCACCGTCACCGGGGTTGTTCGTGATGTAAAATCAAAAACTATAGACCCGTTTGATATGGAGATAAATCTTAGGGGTAATTCTAAAAGTTTTCCTGATTGTGAAGTGGGGTGTAAGTTGATGTTGAGTAGAGATTGATCATAACAAAAGAAATAGCGAGATGAAAGCGGAAGTTTGGTAACTCCGATGATTGGCCTAATCGTCAAGAAGTTTGATCGATTATGAGAGCATTGAGGTCACATTTTTTTTATACAAATAGTAACATCACTTGTGAGGTATTAATTCAAAACATTTCAATCGTAATAATTTCCGAGATATGCATGTTAGATTTAACATTGATTTCAAATATTAAAAATTGATGCACATAAACTAGTTGAACACCCGACCATCAAAAAGAAAAAAAAAAAAAGTGGGGGGAAGTTTGGTCAAATTAGACCTAGACTTTCTAGGCCGGTTGTGAGGGCATTTAGGTCACATTTTTATTTTTATACAAATAGCGACATTATTTATAAGGTATTAAGTCAAAACATTCCTAGTTGTAATAATTTCCGAGATTCGCATGTTAGATTTAAACATTGATTTCAAATATTGAAAATGGCATTGAATCAATGACTAGATATGTTATTGATAAATTGAATTAAAGTTTAGAGAGAAATAGGGGGGGTGGGGGAAGACTAGAGAGAAGTAGTTCACTGGTGAGTCGGTAAGTTTAGCTATCAACAGATGAAAGAGGGGAGGGTCAAAGGTTGCTTTAAGGGTTGAAAATGTTGTCACATTGGTGTCATATTCATACACAAAATCATTTCAGAAAAGGAAATTTCTAGACCAGATTTTAAAATTCTTAAAATAGCATAAAAAAATACATGTGATTTCACACCATATAACAAAAATAAAAAATTTATAATAAGTGGGCTACAAAAATTGGTGGATAGGCATTTAAATGAAGAAAATGTGGGAATAAAGCATCTGGGCAGTTCAGTGTACAGTATTTGAAGCTCCCCTTTGAAGCAAACAATTTAGCTTGTCAACTCCATGAAAATACCCCTTGACACATTCTTATACATTCAAATGAGCTGAAAATTAGCGATGTCTTCCTCTGTATATTCATGCATTCTGTTGAATTGACGGATATGAGATAAATGCATGGTTGTGTCTTTCGATTGGAAATTATTATGATGCTCAGCAACATCTCCTACGAGAAGTAGTTATTTGGCACCTACCTTGGCGTTTTGACGGTCCAAAATTATGTTCATGATCTTTCCTGGGACATAGATTCTTTTTTTGATTGTTTTCCCATCTATATACTTGGAGAGTTTCTCATCCAAGGAAGCTAATCTGAAAGCTTCTTCCTCTGAACATCCTTCTTCGACTTGAATGGTACCCCGGCTCTTGCCATTGATCTGAATTGGTAGGACTATTGTAGAGTCCTTCAAGTAAGCGGGATCTGCCTGCAATTATTACGACGAAGGAAATGACTAGCAGTTACCGCTGAGAAATAAGTCCATCTATCTTCAATGCTATCATTTCAGTGATAGCTCGATAAGTTTTGTCCTATACATGCACTATAGCACTATTGCTATTACTTCAGAACTATGGCGTAATGATATATTACACAAAGTACATCATGAAAGAAAGAATTTTTTACCTCGGGGAATGACTCATATGCCAATGAATTTGAGTGCCCCATTCGAAACCAAAGCTCCTCTGCCATGTGGGGTGCATATGGCGAGAGCAATAAAACAAATGGTTCGATAATTTTTCTTGGATGTTTATCCCACTGAAACAGCAAAAAGCAAACAATAGATGAAACAATGAATGAACAAAAGCTTGACACTAGAACAAGTTTGGAGAATAAAAGAGGCAAGAAAAAGAATAGGTGGCATTCTTCACTCCATCAAACAACATCACATAAGGGGATATAATTCTTCGGTAACACTCCTTTCAAACATACTAGAACAGGCAAATAACTCTGGCAAATAGCTAAGGGAAATAACACTCTTCACTCCGAGTTGATAACTAGCCAGAAACCAGATTGTGGTACCAAATAGCTACGGGAAAAACCTTATATGCTGCATTAATGAACTCCATCATTGCAGAAATACCAGTGTTGAACCGAGTACCTTCGATCTCCTCAGTCACCTGCAAAGTAGAATATACTCCAAATCAGAAGTTTATATTAGAAATTTGACAACATGCTACATGGATGATTTCAAACAAATATAGCACCTTTCAAAATTTCATGACATCTACATGCTTACTGTCATGTAATCAGTGGCAGAGCTACGTGTTGGCCAGAGGTGGCCAACCCGGGCCCCACAAAATTTGTCAAATTTTATATAGAAATATATCATTTTTACCCCTAAATATTCACTTTTTTACCATTCGGCTATGCCATTCTCTAAACCTAAAACTTCAACCCTTATTAGTGCAACTTTCTAAATTACTTTTTATCTCTAAACCCCTTTATTAGTTGGAGATGACACTTGGGCCCCTCCCCAAAAAAAAATTTCTAGCTCCACCTGCATGTGATAATGTATAGCAATATGACACCAAATCTTCAAGCTACAGTTCCTATTAAGAAACCAAAAAGTTACTACAGGCACAATGTAAGGTGTGTCTATGCAATCGGGCAAGACAGTATTGAAAAAAACGCATATTCACAAATAAAATGAAGATGCATCTCAAAAGTTTGAGATACCTTAGCTATGCATTTATGTAGGGCACGAAGTTGTTCTGAAGTAGGCTGCTCATCAGTTATCACACTTCCATCTTTGAATGTACCATCGGGTAAAGGTGAACCGACAATCAGTCTCCAAGTTCTTCCCAAAAATCGATGCACACCTTCGATACCACTTGTATTCCAAGTTTTGGAGTCTCTGAAAGCACAATGGAATCAATAACAATATTACGTAAGGGAAAATTGTACATTGTTGGTGCCTCCTTTATACACAAAATAAATGAAATAAGCGATGCCAGTCATTAAATGATATCAATGAAAGTTTACCTAAATGGTCCCATGAACATTTCATACAAACGAAGGGAATCTGCACCATACTCAGAAACAACATCATCAGGATTGACAACATTTCCCCTACTTTTACTCATTTTGTGGGCACGAGCAATTACACGAATGTTAGGATCATCTTTCAAGACAAAAGAGTCCCCAGATTTCATGACCTATGATAAAAAAAAATAAAAAAATAAATAAAAAGTGATTTCACTACAAAAAAAGATACCAACACTTGTAAAAGAACATACTTTCTCCTCAGGAATGCTTTCCTGATGTTCACTAGACAGGTCACTGGAGTCTGCAGATACATAGTTCCCATCTGCATCTTTACAAGCCATATATTGAACCTGCAACTCCAAACATAAGAAGCATCCAATGATGAAGTTCTAATTATACAAGCAGAAGTAAGTTTTCTTACTTCCCCAAGGATAATCCCCTGGTTTATGACACACTTGAAAGGCTCTATGGTCGACACCACACCAATGTCATAAAGAACCTGAAAAATAACAAAATGTATAAGAGAAAAGCCACAACATGGACCACAAAATTGGAAAACCTGTTAATTTGATGTATACAGCTCACTGTCAATTTTAACTGTTTCCGGCCACACCAGAACTCTCCGGGGAGAGAGTTCTAGTGTGGCTGAAATGGATAGGGAAAGTATAAAAATCCAATGCTAGTAACTGACAAGAATTGAGAGATATACATTGATGAAAATGATAACAGATGAAAAAATTTCACAAACAGGAGCTATGGATAAAAACTGATGCTAATTGATTTCTGCCACCGACAAACCTTGTGCCAGAATCTAGAATAAAGTAAGTGAAGAACAGCATGTTCAGCACCACCAACATAAACATCAACTGGACCCCAGTACCTGCAAATAAGATATGTTGTACAAGCTAAGGACCAAAAACACTCGTTGCAAGGAGCAATTTTTATTTTACTCATTTAGAGATTTAAAAGAGTGTAAGGCAAGTTAGTAATGTAAAATGATAAAGGGAAAACTAAGTTGAAACAAGCTGCTTTTACCTTTCTTTTGTTTTGTCAGCTAATTCTTTAGAATTTTTTGGGTCCATAAATCTTAAATAGTACCTGAAATGGATAGGGAAAGTATTAAAATCCCGATCTCAGACAAGCTACTCACAAATTATCAGTACTTGAAAAAGTAGGAGGTCAACCTTTGCTTGTCAGAAAAATGTTAAAAATCTAATCATGAAAGACCAAACTCCACAATCATCTCAATGACATAAACCATAGATGTCACTCCCAATGAGAAAGGACAAAAATGAATGATATTTTTCAAGAAGAGAACATGATGCCAAATTGTGATTTCAATTATTGATTTCATTGAGTATAATGGATTTCAATAATCAGCAACTTAAGACACTACTAGCTCACTATGTGACAAATTGAACTGACATGGATATTCCAACTGCAATATGGACTAGTAAACTTACATCATACAAAATTGGGAAAAAAAATTGGTGTCAATCAAATTACATGGAAGAGTATATAGATGTAAAACAATTTTACATGAACTAGTAACATTCAACTAAGGAAGGTGATAAGAAACACAATTACCAGCAAGAACCAGCCCACTGTGGCATGGTGCTTGTTTCTCGTTTAGCAGGTTTCCCAGATGAAGGATCTGTGGTATTAACCTGCAAATTAAACATAAAAGTGTAGGAAACAATGGTAACCATAATGTTCACACAAATAGAGAGAGAGAGAGAGAATGCCTTCGCATTAACAACAGTTCCAATGCAGGACAACAACTCATGCAAGTGTTTCATGCGGCTTCACATTAACAATTTTTTTTTTTCCTCAAGCTTAGTATAACATGTGGACATTAGTACCAAAAAGGCAAAGAAAAAAAGGGAATCCTAGAAAAGACCAACCAACCTCAATCATTAGTCAGGCTCTCAATGTTGATATGTTGATTTGTTTCACAACTTTTTCTCAATATGCAAAAACATTAGCATCTAGTAGAAAATAGTTCTGCCATATACTGTTTTGATCTAGATTACTTCTAAAAATTAAATAAACATAGGGTTTGTTCAAATAGCTGAACATCTCTATCTTCTATTAATAAATCAACAGTTTTTATAGAAAAAAATAGCGATTCACATTTATTTTAAGCCAATCACTTAATTTTTTATGCATATTGCTACAAATTAAAAAAAAAGCTACATGAAGCAAGGCACACGAGCCAACTACAGCCATAGACAGAAAAAACTTGGATAATGGAAACTAAGGAAAAAGTATATACCCAAGACACTGCTTTTGATAGCGGTGGCTCTCCTGTCCCAGTGGGAGTAAAATCATCCAATTCAGGCAGGGTTAGAGGCAATTCAGTTTCATGAAGTGGAACACTCTCACTAGTGCCCTCCAAGAAAATGACAGGAATAGGTTCCCCCCAATAACGTTGCCGAGCAAAAAGCCAGTCCCTGAGCTTGTAGTTTACCTGAAAATGGGCAATTACCAATGCAAATTATAAGAAAATTATCAAGAAAACCTCCGGGAACGTGAAGGTTGAGACAAATAGAGAACACCTTTTTCTTTCCGTTCCCAGTTTTCTCAGCCCACTCAATAACTCTAGAAGCAGCTTCCTTGCAATTCAAGCCATTGATGTCAAGCCCTGATGTTGCATTTGATGAATTCATTACAGTGCCTTCACCAGAGTAAGCCTTCCTAGATTCAACACAACTTTCATCCTCTGGTGTCACAACCCAACAAATTGGAATGTCATACTTCAAAGCAAACTCATGATCACGACTGTCATGCGCGGGCACGGCCATAATTGCTCCTGTTCCATAGCTGAACCGAAACAAGAACTTAAATCAAGTTGATAAAACTCAGTAAATACTTATTAGCGACTAAACAACACAAAATTGCTTGGCAGTTCAATGCACTTCACTTTGTAGACAAGACACACAGGTGGACACCTTATGCAAGGCTGATCTGCCAACTGATGAACAGATGAGTATAAGACAAAGAAAATAAAGTCAAGCACACCTCCCCAAGACATAGTCTGCAACCCATATTGGTATTGCTTCCCCATTTGCTGGATTTCTTGCATAACAACCACTGAAGACCCCAGTTTTTTCCTTCTGAAGCTCAGTCCGCTCGAGATCACTCTTTCTTGAAGCAATTTCTTTGTATTCCTCCACCTGCATTCAAGAATTATTGTCTTCTAAATTCCATTTTCAGAAAACCTTTCAATAAAACTGGGTAGAAGAACAGAGGAACATACATTTTTACTCAATGCTGTGGATACTAATGATGACAACAGGGGATGCTCTGGCGCTACGACTAAATATCTGGATGTAAACAACTTATAATAATAAATTATAGTCCAAACACATCTAATGCATGAAATTAATTAAATGCAGAAAATAAGAAAAAAATCTTCAGTTGCTTACGTTGCTCCAAATAATGTGTCAGGCCTGGTTGTATAAACAGTAATTTTTATGTCTCTTTTCTGTCCATTACTATCAACAGCATAAAAGTCCAATTCAGCACCTTCAGACCTCCCGATCCAGTTCCTTTGCATTTCTTTTACACTTTCAGGCCAGTCAAGGTCATCTAAATCTTCAAGAAGACGATCAGCATATGCAGTAATCTTGAGCATCCATTGCCTCATTGGCTGCTTGGTAATAAACAATGATACTGTAAAATTATAAAACCATTCAAACAAAGGAAACAAGAGAAGATTACCAAAACTTGGACGCATGTCGTAGGAAACATAACAAATAATGAAAGAAGCATACCTTTCTTATAACTGGATGCCCCCCACGCTCACTCACACCATCCACCACCTCCTCATTTGCTAAGACAGTGCCAAGAGCAGGACACCAATTGACTGGCACTTCAGCCTAAATTGAGATTTGATGGACCATCATGTTAGATTTCTAGCCAAATAAAGAGTTGCGAACTACAAATGATTATATACCTGGTATGCCAATCCTCTCTTGAGCAGTTGAAGAAAGATCCATTGGGTCCATTTATAATAATCCGGTTCTATTGTGGAGATTTCACGATCCCAGTCATACGAGAAACCCAATGACTTAAGCTGCAAAGCAATGAGATGTCAACACTTTGAAAAAATATAGTAACCACCAAAATATCAGACCGATGAGGCTGAGTTAGTAGATGAGGCTGAGTTAGTAAAAATCATTATCAGGAAAATTTATTTGTAATAGTCCACATACGGGCATCAATCACATATTATTTGAATGATTAAGAAGGCAAATGACCTGGGTGCGGAAGCGATTAATGTTCCTCAATGTTGTGAGTTTTGGGTGAGTTCCTGTCTGACCATGATGCAACCAGTCGATGAATAATAATAACATCATGATTACGCACAAAGATGTAAACCATATAGTATCAAAATCACAGAAAAAACCTCGATTGCATATTGCTCAGCAGGCAATCCAAATGCATCCCATCCCATTGGATGCAAAACATTGCAACCTTGCATACGTTTTAACCTCGCTAAAATATCTGTGGCGGTATATCCCAGTGGATGGCCTACATGTAACCCAGCTCCGCTGCAACAAACCATCAAACCCACACGCAGAACCTCAATAAACCTCCTACTACACACATAGCTACTAAACCAAGCATCATTAAGTAACACATTACAACAACTCAACTAACAAAAGGACAACACTATTCAAACAACCCAGCTTCTAAATTTCATCAAATAAAAGATATAGCTATCAAATTCTCACCAACAAACGAGACATGCTTAAATCACATACACAACTGAGTCTTCCCATTTCTGAATTCTAAATCGCATACACACATATACTATAAAGAGAGAGAAAGATAGTGACCTGGGATAAGGGAACATGTCAAGAACATAAAACTTAGGTTTAGAAGTATCAATTTCATCTGGGGTTCTAAAAGTTCGATTCTTTTCCCAAAAACTCTGCCATTTTGGCTCAATTTCATGAAATGGGTAAGCCCTCTTCACCACTTGTTGCTCTGCTTGTTTTTTCTCTTCAACTTCACTCACTGAGCTCCTAACCTTACTCCTAGTAAACCCACTAAAGCATCTGCTCTTCTTTATAGTAAAAGTTGCAAACTTTTTATGTTGAAATTGTGCTTGTGAGGATAAGAAGAATGGGTGCTTTTGAAAACAGAAAGATTGAGGAAGCAATGTTTGAGTATGAATATGTTGAGTGTTCATTGTTTAGTTTGGTTTTGGGCATCAAATTGAGAGTGAAGAATGGAGAAAAGAGAGTGGTGGTGGATTGAAGTGAGAGGCGTTGAGATAATGCGGTTATGTTGGCGCTTAAAGTAAACTGATTGGCTGAGTTGTTCTTGTTCTTGTTGTTGATGTTCTCATTTTGGGCTTGGGCTTACAAAGGTTAGTTAAAAGTCTGGGATATGATTTTTAGCCCCGATCAGTATTTCCCCTTTTTAGAAACTTGTCGTGTGACAACTTTAACCTTCAAAGATAATTATAAGAAGAGTTAACAACTTTTTCCCACCCAAATAATGACTTAGCCACATTTTTCACCTCAAAACTTTTAAAATATTACTTTCTCACCCAAAAAAATACACTTTTGATTTGGCAGCAAATAGAGAGTAAACTCGGTCAATTCTTTTGGAGCTTTTAAAGAGAGGAGACCGGTAAGTCTTTTGGTGGTAAGAGGTTGGATTTTAATGGTCGTGATTGGTCAGAATTTGACTTGGAAGGGACTGCTACGCAAAACCTAATCACTCAATTACTAGCGATTGACGGAGTTGGCGGGAGTAAGATTTGAGAGGTTTTGTTAACTGTTGGTCGAGGAGGAGAATAATGGTGGTGTGACGTCATAATGATGTTAGAATCGGTCGATGATTGGTGGGGTTGATGGGAAAGTGTCATTAAATATATTTTTTGGGTGGGAAATGATATTTTAAAAGTCTGAGGGTGGGAAATGGTGATTAAGCCACTATTTGAGTGGGAAAAAGTCATTCACTCTTATAAGAAAGATATCAGTATAGTAATACTTTATATAGGAATAACTGTTAAATAGTCATAAAAAATTGTGATCCTATAGACCAATTATAAATAAGAATAAATTTCACATTGTAATATATTATAATTTTTCTAGGTCCTATCTTAAAGAACTTGTCTCCACATGATAAAAATTATTTGTTACATAGGTTCGATTCTTTCACTTTGCACAAACTCAACATGAATATTTTCGGTCAATTGACTACATGTATTAACTTTGGGTGGTATGGTTGATTTGCTAGAGGAAGAAGGAAAGATATTACTTAAATTGTTTGAAGATTACACGGGTTGTGTAATAGTACAACGTGTTTATAGAATTTACATTGAGTGAAAAACACGAAACAAAATGTAAAATTTTAGGCTTTTAAGATGACTTTGCATATTCTCACCACTACATAGATACATACACTAGTTTTGTTAAACTACATCTATATCTTTTAAAAATGTCTATACCTCAAATTTGACAGACTCCATTAATTAATTATTAAAGTAATGCATTTTTTTATCTCTATACTGCTTGTATTAAAGATAATTAGGTCAAAACAATATTTTTTTGTAACTATACCTCTATTAAGTTATAACATTGTTATAATAATAAAATTAATTTAGTTTCACTATTACAACTATAAAGAGGTTTTATTGTATAAATATGACTGAAATTTTTTTCACACTCAATGTTTGACAAAACTACAATTTCCTACCCACAAAATTAAAATTATAAAAAGGTGTTTGATTTTGGGTCAAACTTTGATAGTTTCTAATTTACTGGATCAAATGTAGTTTCGCCAAACCTTGGGTCAAAACTTTTTACCCTATAAATATATTAAATAATCAATTGATCCATATCCAAAAATCTATTGATTAGATTTGGAAGGTAAGATCCACTATAAAACATTAAAGCCCTAGCTCCTTCTATCATATTGATTATCTTCCTTCTTCTTTCCATCTACTCGCTCTCTACCTGCCCCTCCTCCAAGAATCGCTTCCTAGAAAGGCTAGAATATACATACAAAAGCTTTTCCTGGTGGCCTCCATTTAAGCTTTTGTCTCCTTCATTATTGAAATCCAGGTATGTTATCTTCTACAAATTAAATTTCACATGGTTGATGTGTTTGGTATGAAAAGGCTATTCAAAACAAGATTTATAAAGTTTTGTTATTGAATATTGAAAGAGATTATATGGATCGTTTCATATGACAATTTATAAAAATTTATTTATTTATTTTATCTTCTTGGATTAGAAAGGTGAGGGGGTTTTGGATCAAATCACACAAGAGTTTCACTGTTTTGACTATAGATCTGAGAGTTAATTTATAATTTTTTTTTAAAGTCTTTGAAAATATAAACTATGCTCTTTTAAAAAAAAAAAACAAAAAACTTATTTATGCACATCTTAACTAATCTTTAGGGAGAGAGGGTCTTGGATCAAATCACACTAAAGTTTCACTATTTTGACTATAAATATGAGAATTAATTTATAATTTTCTTTTAAAGTCTTTGAAAATATAAACTATACTTTTGTTTTTTTGTTAAAGCTAGTTTATGCGTATCTCAACTAATCTTCAAGGAGAGAAGGTCTTGGATCAAATCACATTAGAGTTTTAATATTTTGACTATAGATTTAAAAATATATGTGTGTATGTGTGTAAGATTTTTGAAAAAGTTGAGTTGGGTGATTATTACGAGATAAAATTTAAAAATTAATAAAAAAACCTTAGGTTTGTTAATTTAGCTAACACCCTTATAATAAAACATTGAAAATTAACAAAAACACCCACACTCATCCATTAAATGCTGGCAGTCGACCACCACCATCGGAGGGTGGTCGACAATCACCGTAATGGCGTATGACTAGCTAGATCTAGCTGGTCGTGTGTCGATATGACCTTTTTCGGCTAGATCTATGGCCAGATTTGGCTATTAACAGCCAGATCTGGCCACGTTTAGTTGTCAACGACGACAACCAAATATATGGTCGTCATTGATGATATGGTCGTCGTTGACGACCAACTATGACCAAAGATTTGGCCGGCTAGATCCATGATGGATATGGCTGGAAAAGGCTAGATCGGCGCACTATTGGCTAGATCCATCATGGATCGGTCCTAAAAAGCTAGATATATGGCCAAAGATCTAGCCGTCTAGATCTTTGGTCATAGCTGGTCGTCACCGACAGCCCTATCATCAACAACGACCATATCTTTGGTCATCGTTGACAATCAAACGTGGCCAGATCTGGCCGTCAACAGTCAAATCTGGCTGTAGATCTAGTTGAAAAATGTCATATCAACGCACGACTGACCAGATCCAACCGGTAGTGCACTATTACGCTAGATTTTGGCCACTTTCTAGCAATGGTGGCTGGAATCTGGCAAATGTGGGTGGGTGGGGGTGTTTTTTGTCAATTTCTAAAAAAATTCTTTTTAGGGTGTTTAGTTAAATTAACAAACCTAGAGGGTTTAAAAATAATTGAATAAAATATAATTGGATTTTCAGAGTAGGGAAACAAATATGTATTTTGGGTAGGATAAGGATATGATAGGGTAGAAATAATGAAACAAACACAGCTTATATATTTTTTTTAAGGCTAGCTTACGCGCACCTCAACTAATCTTTAAGAGAGGAGGTCTTGGATCAAATCATACTAGAGTTTTACTATTTTGACTATAGCTCTGCGAATTAATTTATAAGTTCTTTTAAAAAAAAAAAAAAAAAAAGTTGTGAAAATATAAACTATACTCATTTGTGTGTGTGTGTGTGTGTGTTAAGGCTAGCTTATGTACACCTCAACTAATCTTCAAGGGGAGTTATCCCACAACAACCAACCGCAGCTTAACTTACACATATCTTAACTAATCTTCAAGAAGAGTTATCTCACAGCAACTCACATCGGGCTAGTTTACATGCACCTCGACTAATTCTTAGGAGATCTATCTCACAACAACCCACTACTGCAGCCCTAGGTGGGAAATCGAACTGAAATTGTGGGTTGGTTCGCCCTTATCGCTAGGCTACCCATATAAACTGTACTCAATTATTATTTTTATAAAATAATATTTAAAAACAAATAACAAACGCTCCAATTTCTTGGATTTAGATGTGTCCTTTGATTTGAACTTAGTTTTGAAGTAAAAAGAGTTTATGATGTATATACAATTATCCATTTTAGGGTTAAAATAGTTTTTTAATATTATGTCTAACTATTTCGAAATGGCATAATGTCTTTTGGATAGTTAGTAAGCATTGTAATTTACCAAAGTGTGTTGGCCTAGTAGACATTTGGGCTATAGGTGTCAAACTACTACATAGTTGGCAATTGTCTCTTAAAGTAGGTTATCATGTAGGACGTGATGAGGCATTGGTGTTGGACTACTAGATAGTTGGCAAAAATCTCGTGAAAGCTAGGTTATCATGTAGGTTTTGATGAGGCATTGGTAGGACTAGCTATGTCGTTAGCAAACGACTCGTTAGAGCTAGTTTACCATATCGATCGTTATAAGGCATTATGGATTGTTGTGATGAGGCATGAGTGTTGGACTACCAGATAGTTGACAAGCGTCTCGTAAAAACTAGGTTATCATGTAAGTTGTGATGAGGCATGGGTATTGGACTACTTAGGTAGTTAACAAATGTTTGGTTAGAGTTAGGTTACCATGTCGATCGTTATAAGGCACCTTGGAGTGTTGGATGAGGCATGGGTGTTAGACTACTAAATAGTTGGCAAGCGTCTCATCAAAGCTAGGTTATCATGTAGGCAGGGGCGGACCCAGGCCGTTTGAGGGTAGGCCCAGGCCTGCCCTCAACTTTTAAAAAAAAGTTGTAAAGTTTTTTTTAAAGGTTAAAAAAAAGTAAAAGTTAAAAAATATAAAAAGTTAGTTTTGTCTTTTTTCATATTCCACTTTTTCTACCCCAATTCCCAACTTCTCTTTTACTGTAAAAGTTCTACATGTGACGACTGAGGTTCAACCTGCAACCAAAAATTAAAAAAATTTCCCTCTCAACTTCTCTCACTCACGTCTCCTGAAGGTTAGCCTACGAAAATATTTAAGTTTTAAGTTTAAATAAGCTCCTTAGATGGTTAAATCTATAATTTAACAGAAATATTTATATTGTTGCAGCCTTGCAGGAACAACAAAGAAGATGAAGAACTGGCTGCTTTGCTGCTAATCATTTTGGGTGCTTTAAGCTATAAAATACGGAGAAAGGGCAAGGGAATAGGTATGTACGATTGATGTTAAAATTATATTGAAAACTGCAAGAAAATATGCAAGAAAATGACAAACTACTATTTTTGAAGAATCTTATTAACGCCTACAGTTTTAGAGTATTGGGTTTGGGTGAAAAGTTTTAGTGAGGTGAGACAGAGAATAGGTTAAAGAAATATTTATATATTATCTTTGTTTTCTTGGCTTTTGTTTGTATGTGAGAAAAAGGATTATCATTATCACTTTTAAAACTTCATTTCTAAACCACAAAAATTATGGGCTCCTAATCTATAAAAACGAATGACCTCCATCTCTCATTGGATGCAATTGAATATTTAAATGTATTATGTATGGTATGTTAAATAGGTGTGTTAAATTAAAATATGTCTTATGTATTGCGTATCATGTATTTAAATGTATCATGGTTTGTTCATGTATCTTATTCAAGAGAAAGTTAATTAAGTTGTTAAATTAATTAGTTTTTTTTTTTTTTTAGGAATCTCTTTGACTCTTATTTTTTGGATCCCATTTTAGTACTAACTCATTATATGTTTATCGGATTTGGAATCCAAAGCATTAACAAATAAGATTATGATATCCAATTATTTCAAGAGACTGAAGAAAAGTCCAGCAAAAAATTATGATATCCAATTATATTGGATTTAAGTGGATCGTTAGATTCCTGTGGTTTTTTTATCTCTTCATATTGAAGAGGTTTTTCCACGTAAAAATTTTCTTGTGTTTCCTTGTGAATTAGATGTTATTTTCTTATATTTTCACTAGTTGATTGACAAACAGTAGCGGAGCGACATGCCCCCCCAGGCAAAAATCCTAGATCCGCCACTACATGTAGGTTGTGATGAGACATGGCTATTGAACTAGCTAGATAGTTAGCAAGTGTCTTGCTAGACCTAGGTTACTGTGTCAATCGTTATAAGGCATCATGGGGTGTGAAGATAATTGAATCTCAACTTCTACACTAGGTTCAAGGACTAATCGTTCAATCACAACAAAAAAACCAAGACTAAATTCTTCGGCACTATACTTTATAACTCATGCTTGATATAATAAAAATATTAGATGCAATAGAGTCAACAAATGAGGTGGGTTTAGTAACAATTCACAAATGAAAAAATGGCAAAAGAAAGCATCCATTCCCCTTAGACATCTCTCATCTATCGTACTTTTTGTATTTTCGTGCTATTGGATTCTTCTCTCATTTAATAAACTAGAATATTGGATTACTAATTGGTGGAATACTAGGCAATTTGAAACTTTTCTCGAATAACAAGCTAGTCTGTGGGTATTTGACAAGGTCATGTAGGACGCGATAAGGCATGTGTGTTGGATTGACTATGCAGTTAGCACGTTAGAGCTAGGTTACCGTGTTGAGCGTTACAAGGCATCATGGATTGTCTCAGATAGCATCACCAAACAACCTAGTAGTTGGGTATAGGACAAAGTCTAAGCTAGGTTACCATGTAGGACATGACAAGGCATGGGTGTTGGACTAGCTACTAGCTAGGTAGTTAGTATAGCAGAGCTAGGTTACCATGTCGAACGTTAGGATTGCATCACTAAGCAAGCTAGTCTTTTGTGTATTTGGTAAGGTGGAAAACAAACTTAGATTTTAAAATAAGAATGAAAATAGAAGCGAGCACGCTCTCATTGTCAAATTATTAATCCTTTTATTATCGTATCATTCATTTTCATTTATTGAGTTTGACATTATATTGTAAAGTTTATTGGTGTCATACATACAAACTCTTTTATTGTCATATCGTTTATCTACATTTATTGAACATTTATTTAGTTGACTTTTTATATGCACTTATCTATTCATTTTGGGTAACATAATATGTATACATAATTTGTACATTTGGTGTTATTCTTATTATTGGTTATACATTTAGAATTCATTATTATTTTATTAATTTTGCTACATCATTTTATATATAAAAGTTTGTACAAATAATTTACATTGATTATTATTGTTGTTTTCAATTAAAATATGAGTAATATTACACTTACAAAGACTCTATACAAAGTCATTTATACAAAGTGATGTGACAATACTCTTGCTTTGAAATATCATTCACTATCATTTAATATGCATTTATGAGGTTGATTTTTATGTTAATTCATCCAATCATAATTTGACATGTCATTTTCTATGAAAGACTTTGTATAGTCTTTGTAAATATAATATTATTCTTAAAATATTATAAGCTCCATTCTTCTCTATATAAACACAAATTAGATCAGTTGTTTGTACGAAGAGTAAAGTCATTTCCCATGAGCAATAATGTGTTATTTATAACTGAATTATACAACTAAACAAAAATTGCACAAAATTCATGTAAAATGATTACTTTATCCTTTGTTTTTTACCTAGTTGTATGACTCAGTTGTAAACATAACATTACTCTTCCCATGAGTTAGTTGTTTGTATGGTCAGTAATACTACACTCACAAACCCTTCTCACTTTCTCTTACAAACGCGACATGTCAACTCATAATTGATCAACTCGCAATAGATCTCGCCTGACAATGCGAGCTGTCATGTCAACGTTTGTAAGAAAAAGTTGTGAAAAATGTTTGTCAACCTATCTTTTTATAAAAAGTTCGTAGAAATAGGTATCATCTTTATATTATGGGATTGGCTCATGTTTTAGCTACTTCTTGGATATGTCACATAGTCACAATCTAGGATTTGTGAAAGAAGGAATGGTATGTTAGTCTTACCGAATACCTTTTAAGATGTAATAGGAGAGAACAATGAACCAAAGGCTTAACATTATAAACTTTGTGATTAAATTTGGATATCAAAATCCAACCTTGCGGGCTAACTACTCTTTCAAAAAAGAATGTACAAGATTTTGTTATTGCTCTTGGTTGCTACTCAAAAGACTCGACTTTGTTATGTTAACAAATTCCTTGCATCTTTAATTACTTGCTCAACTGCATAGAGTATCATCTTCTTTATCTGATTACCACCACAACAAAGAGGAAAATAAATTGCTTAGGAGAAGGAAATAAAAAGGAAGAAAAAAATGGCACAAAATGAATAAAAGAGTATTACCTCAAGTTTGTCTTCTCGGGCTCTATGGTTCTTCGGCAGAAGTCTGAACTCCTGAGTTAAACGCAGGCACTCATGAATGTTTTCAGGAGAGACAAAGTCCACAGCTACTTTTGTACATGACTGACATGCATACAACATTTGTCAGATAACTAGAACAAGAAACCAACTTGTTTGCGAATGGCAACGAAATTCAAACCTTGAGATTTCTGACTTGGTGTGGGCATCCAGCAGGAATGAATACAGCCTCTCCAAGTTTTTGTTCAAAGGTCCATGGCTCAATTCCTATAAATTTCATGGCAAATATGTTTACAGGAGAGTTATAGTAAAAGATAATTGACATCGCAGCAATAATGTACTAACCATATTCTTGTTTCAACTTCCTTTTGTGCTCTGAAGTTAAATAAAAACACTGATCATGGATCGGATGAACGACCTGTGATAATAAACAAGCATAACTGTTAGAAAACTGCCACCCAGATATCGTGCCAAACAGTAACTCTGATTCAAGCAAGTAACCTGTTCTACTGGGGAGCAATATGTGTGCCTGAATTCTTTGACGTGCTTTCTAAGATATGCCTCTAACTTGGGAACGTCCTCCCTTCTGAAAATGTCCCACAAAGCACCGCCTGATTCCTCTGTAATCCCTTCTGTATTATTATTATTATTATTACCACTGGTGCCTTCACCAATTTCTTGAGTGGGTTGATCGCCACTGAGTTTTTCAATAGGTTCATCCAGTGTCTCTTGCGCAAGACCTTCCTTTAGATCTTGTGCCCTGTGTTTCTCTTTCAATATTTCCACTGCAGAACGTTGCTCTTCGGTTAACACTACTTCTGCTGTATGTGTCAGTATATTCACCTGCAGTATGAACGTTTTGCAAAGTAATATTTTAAGTGAAATTCAAAAGAGAATGAAAACAATTGAATATAAAGAATATCTGCAAACATAAAGTTATTTATATGCAAATTTAATCATGCATCAATAGATAATTGTATCATAAATTGGTAATCATACATGACACGTCTAATCATAAACCACTGTATGTCACTAAGGTTTCATTTGATACATCTTCAAGTAGAACTTATTCATGCAGATTTCATGAAGTCCAAATTGCATTGCATTATATATTCAATTTCACTTTAATTTCCAGGGGAGAAGACTCTCTTTTGCCCTTTCTTTTTTAACTTTTCTCTCTCTCTCATTATGACACGTGTACAGAAAAAAAAAAGAGAAATAAATGATTACCTCCTTTTTCATTTCTTTTGTCTTTCTGTACACAGTGAAATGGTGGATAGGAAAGTGAGAAAACGAGTGAAAAAAAAATGTGTTTAGCTTTCCTCCATTTCTTGTCTTTTTCACACACGTCAAATGGTGAGCAGGAAAGTGGGACAAGTGAAGGAAAGAGCTCTAATCAAAATCTTTACCATATACAATTGAACCTCCAAATATTAGACTATGAAAATTTATTTAATATATTATTTAATTATATAAATTAAAAATTATTAATTTATTGAGACATTCTTTATTTTCTTTTTCTAACATTGAACTTAATGCATGTATAAATTGTGTATGGTTAATGTGATATGAGGAATAGTTGTTGAAAATAACAAAGAAGATGAAGTTAAAGGAAGTATTTATTTATCGAGATTATTAATTTATCGAAGTTTAACTGTACGTTTAAGGAAGTATAACAAATCAAGTGATGATTTGAAAGGATTTTATTAGTTGTGTAGGTTGTGAGTTGTCTTTTCTTTTTCAGCTACTCCTTTATGTTTTCAAACAAATATGAATTCATTTAAAAAATACTACTTTTAGAACCCAATCTCACAACCTTCTTTTACAACGTCCATGTGACAGCAAAATTGGCACTATCATGTCAATTAACAACTTTGACTAAATATGAAAGATCGTTTCTTAAAAACGAACGACTATTCCTTAAAGACGAACGATCGTTCATTCATAAAGAATGATTATTCCTTCGTAAGAAACAACCATGAAGGAACAATTATCCCTTATAAATGAACATATGTTCTTTCATAAGATACAATCATTCTTTATGAAGGAACATTCGTTCATCTTTAAGAAACAACCATCCGTATTTAGTCTAAATCATTTAGCGTCTTGGTTGTGGTGGGAGCTGACGTCACAATTGCTAACTCAATTGTCATGTTGGAGTTATAAGATGAGGTTGTGAGATTGAATTGTGGATGTAATATTACTCAATTTATTTTCACATTTCCTAGATATTATTTTTAGACAAACATGTTATACGCGTTTTAAAATATTTACCAAAACAAAAAAACAAAACGAATTCATAAAAGAACACAACCAATAACTTTATATCATCCATAGCTTTTATATATATAAAGTTATTGGTTGTTTAGTTGGACAAATGTTAAGAGATTATACTTTCAAAATACCAAAAAGACCAAAAGGGATTTCATTTCAAAGGAATGAAAAAAAGACCATTTTTTGAAAAAGAATATGATGACATTTTACTGTTAAAAACTTTAAATAAGCTAGAAAAGAAAAAAAAAAAAAAAAAGGTAAAAAACACAAATTTTGAGTTTCTAGTTTGAATTAATAGATGTAGAACAACTTATTTAATTACCAATAAGTTTTCTAGGACTTCAACCAAGCAATAAAGGTTTTGAGATTAAATAAGCTCCTTTAACTTTAACAATAATGTTTTACTTACAACTTACTTATACAACCAGACAAAAATTACACAAAATTCATGTAAAATGATTACTCTGTCCTTTGTTTTTTATTTGGTTGTATGACTCAGTTATAAGGATAACATTGCTCAACTTGCAAATAAACCCACCCAATTGGTTTGTTTGGGTGGATTCTTCGAGTAAAGTTTATCAAAGTAACACTTCTAAAAATATAACTTTTATGAAAAAAAACGGTTAAATCTCTTGGTTAAGAAAATGTAGAAGATTTTTTTAGCCTTAATAGACAACAACACCCAAAAAAAAAAAAAAAAAGAAAAAAAAAAGGAGCTTTAATATAAGAAGAAAGGAAATCAAATTTATAAAATTATACGAAGATATTTTTTAAATTTCAATACTTCAAATAACATTAAAAAGGCTTATGAAGCTAAAGGAGGATTACCTCATTAGATCGCAAGCCTATATTCATGTATACGTTGAGAACCCTAAACACGAATATTTTACGAATATTATGTGAGTTGAGAATCTCAAATACGAATATAATGGGAAAATGATTAAGATCAACTCCAACCGGCAACCTTCGTATCGTATTAACAGTCGCTCCACTCACCTATTACCATGCAATAGATGTATTTATAATTTTTAATAATCAACCCATTGTTTTAAAACCCGGACCGGACCAATTGATTAGACCAATCTGAGTACATTATAAACCCGGTTATAGCAATTGGATCAGATTGACCTGGGGTTGAACCGACGAAACAATGCTGAATAACCGGTTTAACCGTCAAGTCATAGAACCAGTGGCTAAAACAAAATCCTAATTCCTAAAATTAAAATCCCCAAATTCTATTCTTCAATTTCAATCTTCAGTTCTTCATCTTCACTCCTTCAAATCGTGTAATCTTCGATCTGGATTGTACTCCGTTTTGCCTCTGCGTCGCTGGTCATGTGGTTCCTCTTCGCCCCATTCAACCTTCACCTCCTCTTCGTGACAACTCCCCTAGTTTGTGGTGGGTTTTGTGGTAGATGGTGGTGTTTTGTAGTGGATTAGGGTTTTCGTGGTGGTTTGTCTAGCGTTGGGCTGATCTGGGGTGGATTGCAGTTACGACAACTAGGGTTTCTTGGCCATATCATAGGGGTGTGTTCGCTAGATTTCAAACCTGTAAAGACTGATGGTAGTTTCTCAAAGGTATATCTGTTAAGTTTCATACTAAGGTTTCATGCTGACATCATCAGTTCAACCCGCCAGTCAGACTTCCCAGCCCAAGGACTAATCCCTTGACAAGGTCAAGGGTCAGTTCCAAGTATAAAAACATTGAATCAACCATTATCAAAATCTTTTTTTACTAACTAACTAAAAGGCCCTAATTATATAGTGGCCAATCTTAAATAAACTAGATCTACTTCTAACAATTTATAAAATCCTATCTAAATAAAAAATCAACTTTACAAAACAAAAACAAATAAAATAATCAATAAATAACTAAAGTACATAGACTTCATCACATGTTGGATGGATGCCTACGGAAAGACAAGGAAACACCAAATTCAACGATGGATCCATTTGGGTTGAGATGGATGAAATTTTGATCTTGGAACGATTGGCTAAAGTTATGTTGAAGACTCTACACACACAAGACAAATGATCCACAACAGGCTTTGCAAGTACCTCGGTTATACTTGTTTGCCGCATTAATCAATGGACCGTTAGTTACTTCGAAAAGTAAATTGCCAATTGATCCAGTGATAAGGGCAAAAACCCAAGGGATGCAAAATGTGAATCTAAAAACTTAAACCAACATGTGGATTGGGTTTTGTAGCATAATTCGAGTTCATGGGTCAACTAATACTAACTCGAAATCCTATCATTCTATAATTAAAGAGATAATGCCAACCTAACTATCATATGTGTTGGAATATGAAGTTGGGATCTCAACTTTGTAACTTTGTAAGTATTATTGTAATATAAGAAGATAGATATTAGTGTTAAAATTGTCAAGGTTTACACTTAATATATGATTTTTTTTTCATATGCGTTGGAATATGAAGTTGGGATCTCAACTTTGTAAGTGTAAACATTATTGTGATATAAGAAGATAAATATTAGTGTTCAAATTGTCCATGTTTACACTTAATATATGATTTTTTTTCTTTTAAAAAAGAAAAAAAGTAAACAAAGAATTAACACGCTTTGTTAGTTTCCAAAGAAAAAAAAAATTCGAATATGCTACAAATAATAGCATTGTTTTGTAAAGCAGCGGATTCATGATCTAGGTTAGATGGTATCTTAGGAATTGAAGAGATATAACTTTGGAGTGCTTCGGTGAGGTATGTAGATTGGACACCATTGTTGCCAATGGTCCTAGTTGTGTCGCCAACACATGATGCCGGAACGATTCTTCCAACATATGCTTGACCGTAGGTATATATTAGTGCTCTATGGTATAGGTACTTTTGAATTTTCGACAGGCTTAAGAGCACCATTATAGCTCTTTGCAGAAATGGACTTTTGGAAAGGTTTAAGAGCACTATTTCAGCTATTTACAGAAATGTTTGGAATGAACTGGGTGTTTGAGAAAATGTTTGGGTTGAAGTTGGACCAAAATATTAATAGTTGAAGATCACAAAGGAAAAGAATTGAAAGAACAGAGAATGTGGGGGAGAACTCACTATTTTTCAATAATCAAGCATAAGCATGGTCTCTTAGAAAAAAAAAAAAAAAAAAAAGAATAATACTACACATACCTCATTTCCATACAACATTTCTCATACAACATTATGTGGCAAGATGTGATTGGATGAAAGTTTAATTTTAACTTTAAATTAGCCAATCATATCTTGTCACATAATGTTGTATAGAAAATGTTGTATGAAAATGATGTATGTGTAGTATTACTAAAAAAAAAAAGCCCTTCTTATATTGTGGCTAGTTCTAAATAAAAAGGAAAAAATCTACTTCTAATAAGAACTCAAATCCTAACTAATAAGATATTAACCTTTTGGAAATAAAAACCAACTAAAACAAACAATAATACATAGATTCCTAAATACATATTAGCTTATATTATTAATACCTTAATAATTTCACAAATGAAATGAAAATTATTTATAAGAAATTAGTAAAAAAATGTCTATACCTCAAATTTGACAGACTCCATTAATTAATTATTAAAGTAATGCTTTTTTATCTCTATACTGCTTGTATTAAAGATAATTAGGTCAAAACAATATTTTTTTTTGTAACTATACCTCTATTAAGTTATAACTTGTTATAATAATAAAATTAATTTAGTTTCACTATTACAACTATAAAGATTTTTATTGTATAAATAGACCGAAGTTTATTCACCTCAATGTTCACAAACTACAATTTCCTACCCACAAAAAAAATTAAAATTATAAAAGGTGTTTGATTTGGGTCAAACTTTGATAGTTTCTAATTTAGTGTGAAAAGTACAATTTCGCGGAACCTTGGGTGAAACGTGACTTTTTACCCTATAATATATTAAATAATCAATTGATCCATATCCAAAAATCTATTGATTGGATTTGGAGGGTAAGATCCACTATAAAACATTAAAGCCCTAGCTCCTTCTATCATATTGA